GACGGCGCCGGCGGCGGCTCCGGCTCTGGCGAGGTGGGCTTGGCGGAGAGCCGAGGGTCGAGGTTCGAGGGAGAAAAGGAAGACGTAAGATTGATGGGGGGGAGGGAGGATCGAGGATCGAGGGAGGGAGGGAGGATCGAGGAGCGAGGGAGGGAGGGATGATCGGGGGAGGAAGGGAGGATCGAGGATCGTTTGGGGCGGAGGACCGAGGAGGACCGATGGGGGCGAGGATCGAGGATCGAGGGCAGGATCGAGAGTCGAGAGAGGATCCGGGATCGAGGGTAGGATCGCTGGAGGAGTAACGGTCGAGGGAGGATTTACGATCGAGGGGAACAAACTGCATCAAAAGAACCGTCTGGAGGCCCGCGCGGATGTCTTAGATCCACGCTGGACGCCCCCTCCCGGGCGCGCGAAGCACGCCAGGGGCGGCGCCGGAGGCGCCGCCAGGGGGGTCCAACGGGGACGAGGACCCGTTTCTCTCAGGACTCGTTTTCTTCACGCCGAGGGGAGGGAGGGAGGATGGAGGTTGGGTGGGCGGCGGGAGGGAGGGTCGAGGTAGATCGAGGACCAGGAGTCGCAGAGAGAAGAGGAGGGGAAGGTGGGGGGGGATCGAGAGAGGAGGGGAGCGACGAGGACGAGACGGGGAGGGAGGAGATGGGAGCCCCCCTGGGTCCGACGAGGTGGAGCGGACGGAGAGAGATCGCACAGGCCGCCCTGCAGAGAAGTAGTCCTGAGGAGAAGGGGGCCCCAAGCTTCCCAGAGATGCTCGCGTCGTGACCAACAGCAGGACAGGTTTTTGTTCGGACGCGGTTGGAGGTCCTTTCGTGGCCCTCTGTGTCCCCGCTTAGAGGCTCCTTGGGCCGTCTTGAGGTTATTTTGGGCCGCCTTGGGGGCATGTTGAGCGCGTTCCAGGCGCGGTGCTTGCGCAAGCTGTTGCGTGCTCCCCATTCGTACATCGGCAGAGGTTGTGTTGTTTGCTATCTCCGGCCTCCTGGGGCCCTTGCCAGGCCCTCGGGCCGTCAAACATATCTACTCAGGATGAGAAGCCGGTCCTGGGGCACGGGCCGACGTTGTTTCAAACATCAAGGCGTCCGGGGGTCCGGGAGGCCCCAGGGCCTCCTTCTCCGTCTTCGGCCTGTTCCTGTTGTCAGGGGAGTGGCGCCCCCAAAGGAGACTCCAGAGGCTCACGCGCCGTGCCGCAGCCCCCCAGAAGGAGATGCGCGGCGTCCGATCTCGCGCGGGATGCTTACCACGCCGCGCCGTGTTATTTGCACGTGGTTGCTGCGGACTCGCCAACCTTCTTCCTCCGCGTCTGCTGCGAGGCCTTTGGGGGGCCTCGGGGGCCCAAGACTCGGCCCCTGTGCGTCGTGTTACTTCGTCACTCCGGTGGAAGAACACGCTGCAATTCCTTACAAACCGCTCTGACCGTAAATGCCGAACGGCTCTCCGTAAGTGTCTTTGGGCCTCCTCCTCCTCCTCCTCCTCCTCCCTCCTCTCCTCCTACTCCTGTTCCCCTCATCCTCTGTTCCTTTTCCTCCTCCTCCTTCACCCCCTCCTCCCTCTCCGCCTCCGTCCTCGTCCCCAGGAGTTCCACTGAGGCTCCCCGGACCCCGGGACCCCCAGAAGCCACCTGCCTCTTGACCCCAAGGGCTTTTCTGCAGGTTCCAGGCCGGGGCCTCCTCTGGCACCCCAGCTCGGGGCCTCTTCGGAGCCTCCTCAGGACGGCTTGTTTCGAGTTCTCTGGCTCGATTCGAGTCGATTTCGAGGGCTTCCGATTCCGATTCGACTCGATTGGGGATTCCGATTCGGGCTCCGGTTTCTCACAGGAGGCATACAAGCCTGCCGATTTTCGCCGATTCGATTTTTCCCATTTGGGCTGCCAATCTCCGCCGATCCGATTCATTTCGGTCGCCGATCCGATGTATCGATCCGCTTCTGGGCCCTCGTGTCCTCGGGAGAGAGCAGCAAGACGCCCCCAGAAGGCAGGCCCAAGCATTCCTGCCCAGAGGATCCCGTGAGCCTTCCGAAGGGACCCCAGGAAGTATCCCTGAAGACTCTGGCTCACGTCAGCGTAGTCGTCTTCGCCGTTGCCGCCGTCGTCGTCGTCGTCCCCCTTCAGGGTCGGTTGACCGAGACCGGATGTGGCCAAAGCTAGATTCTTCCCACCCTGCTCCTCCGATTGGGTTTCGAGTATGTTGCACGTTTTCTGTGCTGTCCCCCTCGTCTGCGTTGCCTTCGAGGCGGGTGTGGCAGCCGTGCGAGATCCTGCAAAAAGCTGATCCCCCCCCGACCGCCTCCTGGTCTGGTTGCTCTCCCTGCATCACCCACTCTCAGCTCACTGTTGCCGCCAGCCAGCCCGTTTCCTCCCCTAAGGCCACCGTCTATTACTTGCATCCTTCTCAACCTCCTCCCTCATCCTCCTACGTGCGGCCTGGTGGGCCTGGACGACCCGTCGTCCGAATTGTTGCGATATTATCCTCTTCTCCGCTCCTATTTTCCCTCGTTGTTTCTCCTTTCTCCGCTCCGCCTCGTCCTTCCCTCCCTTTCATTTCCTCCCTCTCCTCTCTTCCCTCTGCTCCTCTCCTCTCCTCCTGTCATGGCCTCCTCGCCTCTGCTTCCACTTCCTTGTGAACTCCCTTCTTCGGACACCCATTCCTCCAGATTTCAAGGTTTCCGCCAGGGAGTCCTCACGGTAACCCCAAGGAAACCTGGTTCCAGATGTTGGGTTCCTCCTTCTGGATTCCCAGGTTTTTCGTCCCTTCCTCCCCCCCCCAAACGCTTCCTCCTCCCCTCCTCCTCCTATTCCTCCTCTCCTCCTCCTCCTCCTCCTCCTCCTCATCCTCCTCCTCCTCCTCCTCCTCCTCCTCCTCCGCCCTCTCCTCCTCCTGCTCCTCCTCCTCCTCCTCCTTGTTGTTCTTATTATCCTCATCCCTCCCGTATCCCCTCCTCCCTCCTCAGTTCTTGTCTTCCCTGATCCGCATGTTTATCTTTTACCTCAGGAAGTTTTCGTTCGGAGTCTCGGGACCTCTTGGAAAGCTACCATCGCCGAAATTGTACGCAAACAGGCACATTATGAGCGTCGAGTTTCACTGACACAAGCTTCTGAAGACAGCGTCTTTCTTGTGCTGTATGCCGCAGGCGTTCCCAAGGCTATCTCGGACTCTACCCATCCACTTCGACAGCAGGATCCCCCTCCAGTGTCCTGCAAGTGTATGTGGTGTGATCTTGCGTTCCAGCAGGTCCGAGATTTACGGCAGCACATTGTCAGGAACCATGGATACTTTACACACGATCCGCAGCATTCTTGGGACACCACATTGTGCAAATATTGCAGCATGCGCTTCGCAGGCCGTGCCTCACTCATCGAGCATTTGCCGAAGGACTCGCCACGATGCTCCATCTCCTGCATCGTGCACGGCGGGGACAGCAGCCACGACCAAGAGGCGGCAGAGAGGAAGCAGCAGACGAGACAGCGTCTCAACCCAGCCGCAGCAGCCAAGCTTGCCAGTCAGCGCGGAGCGGGGCTCGGCAGGTGTAGGGCCGCTTTCCTTGCTCATCGCGGTCCCCCCGCTCGCCCCCAGTCGGAGTTCGCGACCCAGTTCATTGACCATCTGAGTGAGGGTCAGGCCCGTCAAGTTTTGATAGAGCCAGACTCTGTTTTTAGTCCCGAGCCCGCCGCCAATCTTTACGAGGTCCCAGTCGGACCGCGCGTGAAGCCTCAGCTTGGGTCGGACCCATTGGACTTTGAGGACCGATGTTGGCCCCTTCGGCCCAAGCATTGTGACAGAGAGGTTGCCTCGTCCATCTCAGCTAGCATCACGCGGCCTGAAATACTCGTGCTGGATATTTTCTCAGGCATGATACGTACAGGAGACATCCAGTGAAATTTTGAACGTGAGGCGGTTGACTCCAGATTTTCCTTGTGTTGCTTGTCTGTAGACATTGCCATTGGCTCTACTTTAGGCGACCTCACCCGCCAAGAAGCTTCAAACACTTGGGCTGACCACGTCCGCTGTAGGCGTGTTTTCAACACTGAGGGGGGGCCTGCGATACGTGGTCCGCAGCCCGATGATACGATGGCCCCCCCCCCTCTCCGCAAGAATCGGCATGTTTGGGGTGTGCCACAGTGTACGAGGAAGCAGGCGCAGCAAATGGAAGCCGGCTCGCAGCTGCTACATGCCATAGTATTTCTTCTTGGCCGAACAATTGAAAGTGGGGACATCCGGATGGCTTGAGCACCCTGTGTTTCGCCACTTGGATCCCTTCGGCTCCCACCTCCTTTCGCTGGCGCCCTCTTAATGCTCCCGCCTCCTCCCCACTTTCCACAGTCACGGACACTGATCAGTGCGAGCGTTGGCCAGCTTGGACAGATCCAGCTACCGTGGGACGAGAGCCAACCAGGATTCACGGGATCCGCATGCCAGATCTCCCCATCCATCTCTGTAGTACCCCAGGAGGTGGTCGATGCAGTCATGACAGAGGTTCTCACATGACCCTGATTGGCAAACACCAAGATGATCAGCAGTTTCGCGCGGCAGGCAAGAAGGTTTACCCGACGGGCCTCTGTGAGGCTCTTGCTCGGTCGATTTGCTCTTCGGTGGCCCAGTTTGCGTTGGCGGACGTCGCCGACTAAGTTCCCGAGTCTAAACAGCCATCCGCGCTAAAGGCCTTGATGGATTTCTATGTCCCGCTGACCATCGAGGATGACATCCGATTCACGATTCCCTCGGGTTTCGGTGCCCGCCCCAGTCAGGGCAAGCGCAGAGTTGATCCTGCAAGGCATCGGTCTCAATCAGAACTTGCGCATGTCCCCTGCGGGGAACAAGAGCCCTCTGCTTTCGCATATGATGGGCAACAATACATGGCGTCCCAGACTGCGGCTGCGGACGCAGCAAACGAGGATGAGGCGGCTGCCTATCTTGGCATTGGCCATGTTGGCCCTCCATCTCCCTCCTCGCCTCTCGTCCCTCCGTTGCCGTCGACGTCGCCGTCTGTTGCCC